AAAAATAGTCAAGTATTTGGAGAATAAATTGCAAACACAAAACGAACATACAGAAACAACTTCAAATTAAAGCTATTTCGTTTTTTAAATTGAAATTTTTTTTTATTATTAAATTTTATATTTTTTATGTTAATAAGACGTATTTATACATTTATATTAATTTTTACACTAAGACAAATTGAAAATTTTTAACAAAAAAAAATTGATTAAATGCCTTTTTTTTAAATTGACATAAACATGCTTTATTAAATAATTTAGATAACATTAGTTTTTTATGTTTACATTAATAAAAAAAAGCGATTTTTTTACAAATTGTTGTATCCAACCATATTATTTTTTAATATTTTTTCTTTTTTATAATAATTTTTCAAAAATGAATTTTCAAGAATTTTATTTTTTACTAGATAGATTACGTTATCCCGTTTATAAAACGGGACTTTAAATACAATGTATGCTTTTTAATAATATGTATCTTGCGGCAATTTTCGACGTTTATGTTTAAAAGTTCATAATTTGTTGTATTTATCTTGTATAAAAACTGCAGTAACACGCTTTTGAAATTGGATTTTTGAATACAACACAAAAAATATAGGGAATGATCTGTTCGTAAAATAGTCAAATAAACAACATTGTTATTGCTTATATAACAAAATTTTATACATACAAGGAAAAAAAATAAATTAAATATCCAGATCCAAACTTTTTATATATATTAATAGATTACGCTATCCCGTTAAAAACGGGATTTCGGAATTATATTAGTTTATGCATTTATTTTTCAAAAGTACAGTATTTCATTATAATAACTCTTTTTGTAATAAATTTAATAGCTTATTATAAATTAACTTTTACTGTGTCTACATTCTTAAAACTTTGACTATAAATATGACAAAAATAAAATATTTTATTTAAATTATAAATTTGTTATGAGTTTTTATGTTATCAAAATATGACTTCAGTGTGGGTAAATTTCTGCCTAAGATTCTCTTCCCTTCTAGCTTCCTCAATTGTCAGATCTGCTCCTTGGCTGAACTCCATCGAGACACTTTCAAGAGTTTTTTTTAGAGTGATCGATTGAATATAAGCTTCAATTTGATCAGAAATTGCAAGCTCTTTCCTGTATTTTGCATGGTATTTTGTAACGATACCATGTCAATACATATGGAATTATTCTTGTTTTGCATCCGTGAAACAAACAAAGTTCATTAGCCAATACGTCGTACTTTCTTAACTTCTTAGATTCTACCTGTTGTAGATTGTTAATCGAAGTAACACCAATTTCAACAATTAATATTTCTTTATTCTTTTTATCAATAACGACAATGTCTGGCTTATTGTATTTTATCTTCACGTCTGTCTTTATGGTACC